TTACTATAAGATTAATAATCTTTTCTTTGGTGCTTACACACTAGTTAGAAAGGTTATAGTAAGAAGTAGCGGATCTTACAAATGTCGATGTCATTACCAAGATAAAACTTGATGAATTGCCTTCAACCTCATTCCTAATATAGCATATGATGGAAGTCATGTTAAGTACGAATAGAATTTGATGTGTCTTGATCACTTTTCCCATTCAAAACCAACATTTGATGAAATATCACACCAAGTACATGCACCGCCATCTTATATTTTTCGATCGTCTCAAATACTTTAGCCAATCATGCATAGAAGATGAAAACTAGACTAATGAGTAGAATTGAGGCATCCTCAATCACTATAAACCAGATAAGTGTTCTTGTACTAAAAACTTCAGTTAATATCTTTTTCACACTTGTGAGTTTGACAATGAAAAGGTACAAAAATTGCACATGAAAAAATCATGAAATAAATTTTCCACAAATCAATTTCCATATGAATGTACCTTGCATGATGATAATGATATCGAGTTAGTCATTTTTGGAGATGATGGTGACACCTAAATGATGAGATCCGAATGATGGTGACTTCACATGATTACGTCCGTGAAACGGCATCAAACGGTGTTCGAACTCAGCCTACCTTTTGGGGAATTTGCTTCGTGATTTTTCATTTGCAATTTTTATATATTTTCATTGTCAAGCTCACAAGTGTGAAGCAAATATCTATTGAAATTAATAGTGCAGAACATTTATCTTGTTCGTAGTGATTGGATATGCTTCAATTCTACTCATTGGTCTAGTTCTCATCTTCTATGCATGGCTGGTTAGAGTATTTGAGATGATAGAAAAATATAAAATGGTGGTGCATCTACTTGGCGTGATATTCCATAAAAAGCTGGTTTTGAATGGCAAAACTAATCATACACATCAAATTCTATTCGCACTTCACATGGCTTCCATCATATGCTATATTAGGATTGAGGTAAAATGCAATTCATCAAGTTTTATCCTAATAATGACACCGGCATTTGTAAGATTTGCTACATCTTACTATAAGATTAATAATCTTTCCTTTGGTGTTTACACACTAGTTAGAAAGATTATAGTAAGAAGTAGCGGATCTTGCAAATGTCGATGTCATTACCAAAATAAAACTTGATGAATTGTCTTCAACCTCATTCCTAATATAGCATATGATGGAAGTCATGTGAAGTACGAATAAAATTTGATGTGTCTTGATCACTTTTCCCATTCAAAACCAACATTTGATGAAATATCACACCAAGTACATGCACCGCCATCTTATATTTTTCGATCGTCTCAAGTACTTTAGCCAATCATGCATAGAAGATGAAAACTAGACTAATGAGTAGAATTGAGGCATCCTCAATCACTACAAACCAGATAAGTGTTCTTGTACTAAAAACTTCAATTAATATCTTTTTCACACTTGTGAATTTGACAATGAAAAGGTACAAAAATTGCACATGAAAAATCATGAAACAAATTTCCCAAAAATCAATTTCCATATAAATGTACCTTGCATGATGATAATGGCATCGAGTTAGTCATTTTTGGAGATGATGGCGACACCTCAAATGATGAGATCCGTGAAGTTAATGATGGTGACTTCACATGATTACGTCCGTGAAACTGCATCAAACGATGTTCGAACTCAGCCTACCTTTTGAGAAATTTGCTTCGTGATTTTTCATTTGCAATTTTTATATATTTTCATTGTCAAGCTCACAAGTGCGAAGAAAATATCCATTGAAGTTAATAGTGCAGAACATTTATCTTGTTCGTAGTGATTGGATATGCCTCGATTCTACTCACTGGTCTAGTTTTCATCTTCTATGCATGGCTGGTTAGAGTATTTGAGATGATAGGAAAATATAGGATGGCGGTGCATCCACTTGGTGTGATATTCCATCAAATGCTGGTTTTGAATGGTAAAACTGATCATACACATCAAATTCTATTCGCACTTCACATGACTTCCATCATATGCTATATTAGGAATGAGGTTGAAGACAATTCATCAAGTTTTATCCTAATAATGACACCGGCATTTGTAAGATTTGCTAAATCTTACTATGAGATTAATAATCTTTTCTTTGGTGTTTACACACTAGTTAGAAAGGTTATAGTAAGATGTAGCGGATCTTACAAATGTCGGTGTCATTACCAGGATAAAACTTGATGAATTGCTTTTAACCTCATTCCTAATATAGCATATGATGGAAGTCATGCTAAGTGCGAATAGAATTTGATATGTCTTGATCACTTTTCCCATTCAAAACTAGCGTTTGATGAAATATCACATCAAATACATGCACCGCCATCTTATATTTTCCTATCGTCTCAAGTACATTAGCCAATCATGCATAGAAGATGAAAACTAGACTAATGAGTAGAATTGAGGCTTTCTCAATCACTACAAACCAAATAAGTGTTCTTGTACTAAAAACTTCAGTTAATATCTTTTTCACACTTGTGAATTTGACAATGAAAAAGTACAAAAGTTGTACATGAAAAATCATGAAACAAATTTCCCAAAAAGGAGATCGAGTTTGAACACCGTTTGATGCAGTTTCATAGACCTCATCTTGTGAAGTGTTCACCAACACCTTACCATCATTAACTTCACGGATCTCATCATTTAAAATGCTGCCATCATCTCCAAGAATGACCAACACGATGTCATTTTCATTATGCAAGGTACGTCTACATGGAAATTGATTTACATCGACACAAAAAGTATTACAAAAATTAAATCTACTGATCAATTTAATCAGCTAACCGAAAAATGTATATTATAGAGAAGATAGCTAAGATTTTTAGAAAATATATTGTATTGTGAATAAATTTAAGTAATTTCTTTTTATAACCACAAAATTAATAGGTTTTAATTTTTCGTTGATCTTTCTTTTACATATTACTGAATATTAAATTATCCGTAATCGTAACTAATAACGAAATATGAATATCATCACTGCAAAAAGGCCATCATTAGGGCGTTCTTCACTTATGAAGTGAATAGTTAACCTCACAAGCTAAGATATAGTGAAATGTAAATAGACACGTAAATATTTTGTTATGAATAGGGATGGCAACGGGGCGCCTCCACCTCGCCCGGCCTTAGACGGGGCAGGTCAAGGACGGGGAAACTTTTTGCTCCATTTAATTTTTTTTTTTTTTAACATTTTCAAAGTTTTGAGTTATGTTATTATTAGATAATAAAATACAAATTCAAAATGGATTTTTAACAGATGAATTATCTAAAAATAAAATTATTTTTAATCCTTTTTTTTTTTCATTTTTTTTGCCCCATTTAAGACAGGCTAGGTTTTTTTGCCATCACTAATTATGAAAACAAAATATCAAAAATCCACCATAAAGACTGCACAAAAATAATTATTTTAATATCAACGGTTAATTTCTAACGTTTGATGATGAAATTAGACATTCGACTTGAGATCATCAAAGTACCTTACATGAGGGTTGTCATACTTTGATGATTTTGAATGTTGCTATGTTAAGAATCGCTGCTAGAATAATTATCTAATGATTTGTATTTCATTTGCTTAAATTGAAGAATGAGATAAAAGATATGATTAATTAATTGAGATTGACAAATCTCCATATCTCGTAATTGATTAGGTTATATTGAGATTGATGGTTATAATTATATACTAACATACATATATTTGCATACACACCAAGTGTCATTAAATGAAAGGTACATTTAAATAAATCATATGATCTTACCTTTAATTGAACTTATCATATAGTACCATATAGACTGATACTAGATAAAATTATTCTAAATACTATCACCTTTCTAACTTCTTTAAAGAACAGCAGCTACCCATTTTTTTATTTCACTTTTTGGTTTATTGCGAAATTCTTCAATATCCAAAAAATGATGCTACAAGACGGGGGCTATAGAAGAAGTGAAATTTGTAGCGCTCGAGTATTCTGCATACATTTATGTTATAAATTCTACATATTTGAAGCTATTTTGTTTTGGAAATTTATATTACAACCACAAAATTTGCTAGTGACGCCACATTATGTCCACACCATAATTAAAACACGTTTTTAAATAAATATACCACAACAAATTTACAATTATAAACCGAATTCAATAAATAATAATAAATAATGAGAAAATTACACAGGATGTTTATGAAATTAATAGGTAGTGCTGAAAATGAGATATCATGGATTAAATGTCATAAAATATTATTAAAGTACGCTGATTTCTTAATATTTATAGGAAAATGAAAAATCAAATTATAAAAAAAATCAAATAATTAAGCATATTGTTGGATATATTTTTAAAAATAACAAGAAGTGTCATATTTCACGGAGTTTTCATCTATATATATATTCACTATTCTTTACTATTCATGTATTTTCTAAAATCCGTGTAGAAAGATTACCTACTATTCTTGTGCTCGATCAATAGTAGTTTCTAATTAGATAAATATATTAAAATCAAACCAAAACAACTCATATATTCATGCATATTAATTTTTGTCCTAGCAATTATAAGACTCCAATTTTCGCACTCCACATAATTTAAAAATAAAATAAGTAAAATCTCTTGAAATATTCTATCATCTCAACTAAATAATATGAAATGCCATTTAAATATAGAGATTATATGTATTTATGTGCGTATATACGTGAACGTTTACCTTTTGAATACGAAACACTTGAGTCACTTGCAACAAAATATGAGCTCCTTATCTGAACAACAAACTCAAATATTTCACAAACACAGAACTTGAAAATTTCACAAAACCACACAAACACAAAGAAAATTTCATAGACAATATACAAATAATGAATGTGAGCATTGGAATAGATATATAAATACGCACAAAACTATATGAACGTTACCAAGTTAAATTTGTAGAAGCCGAAGTACATAGAATATTGATTATTCTCAATAGCTTATTCAGCTGCATTAATATTTACAATCCCCAATTTCATCAAACAAACTTCTTTAAATGACCTTCTAGAAGGGATGAAAGATGCACAGATAACAGTAAATTTCATGTGCATATGTTTAGGATTTCAATATGAATAATTGTTGTATTAGTCCAGACCTCAAGCTTCCCATCTCAGAAGATGGTTGAAAGTGAAAATTACAAATTGATGCCATCAATGCAAAAAAATACATAAGATCTGCTTATGTTTCCCCACACTCCTTTTATCAAGCTACCTGATCTAAAACTCAGTTTAGTGAACTGCTTTCCTTGAGAAACATATTAGTCAACATCTCGCCTGGCAACATATTTGCATGCAAGGCATCTACACACCTCAATAGTCATTGCTACCTGCAAAGTTTCTTCATTATCCTAAGTTGCTCTCTACCAACTTTAGTGTTGAGAGATTAGCATTTAATTTATCAGAGAGTATACACTTCTTCTAAGTAAGGCAGAAAAATTATAAGGTTACTGAAAGGAATACAATCAACAATCAATCACAAACTAGTTAAGTGTGGAGATTGCATTGCTGCTTATGTACAAAGGGAAGAATAATTGATCAATGACAATTTAAAGGCCAGTGGTCATTTGTTTTGAAATATTAAAGCATTTGATTATGTAGTTAGTGATCCAGCATATATATAATTAAACCACCCTCAAATGATCTTAAAAACCCCTAAACAAATTTTAAACTTCACATTTCAATGAAACTGTAATTCCAACCACCAAAATAAACAAAAGAATCTATATCCAACATCACTAACCAAGCCAAAATCAGACATTTGCAGTAGCCAAAATCTTCAAATTTCAACACTAAAATCGATGGCCAGTTAAATATTTCCTCTAATACAAAATGAAAATCCAAATAAAAGGTTCCACAAATGTCAAACATTTCCATTTATACACACTCACAAAGGAAATGAAAGTACCAGGAAGAGCAGGATGTCGGAAGAGGCAACCGGCTTGCGGGACTTTTCTACTTCTACAAGGCACAAGCTCCCTGCGATTGATAAACAACTGAGATATCAAATTTTAGGGATGTCACAAAACTAAAAACAGAAAATAGTTCTTGTACAGATGGAGACCATTCTTTTTAATTCCAAAAAAAATTGCTAAGAGTTATAAAAAGATCGAAATGAATCAAGAAAGAAATAAAGAACAATTTCAAAATCGAATCGATGAAAATCTGACCAAATAAAGAGCCAATGCGGAGAAATGGAAAGAGTTGTAGGCAAGATATGACCAAAAACTAGCGATTAACCCTGACGGCGACTATGCAGGCGGATGGAGGAGCAAGCGTAGAGACAGCCGAAGACGAAGAAGAAGAGGGAGCCTTTAGGGTTTCAAGCTTAGACAAAGACCGGTAAATAGATAGAACTGTTAGATTTCATTTTGATTCAATTATATGGGTCAGGTCATGTGGGTTTGGTAGATTTTCATGGGCCGACTTGGTTACACTAGTTTTTGGATAGTTTTATTCTCAGTCGGACCCAGTTTATGACCCGTGGGTCCGGTCTTATTTAATTATCGAGAGAGCTGGACATTTAATATATGAGTTGACATGGTACTTTTTCTAATTGATAGTATAGGTTATGTGTCAAATTCTTATCATTCAACACAATTTTAAATTGTATGAAAGTTTTTGTCATTGTTGTGGAATTAGAAATGTTAACAAGGGTATTATGGTCTAAATTATTGCAAACTGGGCATTGAAATTTTTTTGAATATTTTTGCAAATGACTATGTAAAAATGGCTATTTCTTGCAATTTCCTCTTTATTTATATATTTTTGTCATCCTTCGTAATGAGTTCACATTATTAAAATGGTGGGCAATTGCTAAAAGCAAAAAATGGAATTTGATTTTATGCAAATCAACTAACTGTCAAGGCTTATATTTATTCACATACAAAGTTTCAAATTAATCTTTAAGGGCTAAAACCCCTTGGACAACCCCTTGGACGTCCAGAAAGTTGTCACCCAAGAATAACCCATCTTAAAGGCCATATAGTGGCACTTCCCAATAGATATGACTAGATTGACAAGTCTTGGCCGGATTATCAAACAAATTGGAACTACTTTCCGACTTGTCAGTGTGTTGGCAACATTCTAGTGGGTACACGTGTTTGATATTTATTGTAACTACTTCGCCCCTATATGGTCGCCCTTAAATTGAATTTCATTTTGCTCTTTCTTATTTTCAATTAAAATCTTCCACAAAATAATAGTACACATAAATCGAAAAAAATTCTTCTTTTTCAACCACTCATTTTAAAAAAAAAAAAAATTATCCTACCTATTTTCATTTGAAAAAATCGGGGCTGAATGGCGGCTTTGTATGTAAACTGAACCACATTGGGACATGTCCTACAAAAACTTACAGAATCTCACTCTAGGACCTGACCTACTGATTTTATGCAGATAAAGAAATCATATATTGTTATATTATTTTCTTTGTACCCCTGCCATGAATTCCTTAGCTAATAAATCAGGGGCGAACCCAGAAATTTTTTTCAGTGCGGGTGAGATTAATAAAGGTTAAAAAAATAACAAAAATATTATAACGCGAATATTATACTAAAAGTTATTGTACTTTTCTTTAAGCACTAACTTAGGTTGTTATTCTTAATATTTACCAAAAGTTATTATTTTTGTTTAGCCCATTTCTTCCATATTTGTGTAAATTGCCCAAAAATAAACCAATACTATAAATGGGCAGCCCACATAACAATTTAGAATCTCATACCAAGTTACCAACCCATCAAACATTTAAACCACACCAAACCTACAAAAATTATAACTCAAACACAGCATTGTCCTACTTTAAAGGTTTTGACAAATAGTAGAAGCAAAGGAAGAGACAGCAAAATCTTGAAGGCTCTTACGGGTTCTCTTCTAGCAGAGGAAGAGGACAACAAAAGCTTGAAGGCTCTTACAGTCTTATGGGTTCTCTTCCCTTTTTTCAAATTCATTTCTTAGGGTTTTTTCTTTCTTCCTCTAGTTTTTCAATATGGGCAACCATGATAGCTTGAATATGGCAGATCTTGGTGCTTGTAAAAACATTTTCCCCAAAGTTCAATGCAGGTAGATGCCTACATTGGGTCTGCCCCTGTAACAGAAAACTTCAAAAATTTGGAATATACTACTTGTATATAAATATAGTACGTAAGGAATTACATAAGATGATATAGAGGAAAAAAAATTGGATGAAAAAGTTAATTATATTTTAACTGACAAATGATAGAGTGACTTATGGTATTATGTAACCCATTATATAAAACTTGATAAACATGTAGCAAGATGTCAAAATTATTAGCAAATAAAAACTTAGCCCCTTTCTGAACACCTACCATGAATTCCTTAGTATAATTAACTTGGTTTATTAGCAAGTAAAAACACATTTGAGTCGAGTTGTTTTTATAAACTACACGATAAAACGAAATCATGTCAGAACTCAAAACTTAGCCCCTCTTTGAACCCCTCTTTATTGTGAAAATTAGTGATATTTATCGATTATGCTACATGTACGTTCTGTTGATATTAAATTTGTCAACTAACTGTTAGGACTATTTATTTCCAAATAAAGCTTCAAAATAATTTTTGCGACCATATTTTGAATTACATTTGCAAATATTAACTTGTATCGAACAGAATGATTCTTTTATTTATCATTTATCCTTTTCTTATTTTCTACTTTCTTATCTAATTTACAAAATACGATGCTAATAAGCCAAAAGTACTCCTAACAATTTGGCTTTACATTAAACTGTTTTTAGCCGATCACCTGAAAATTTACGATGTATTTTTAAGCAGTTTTCATCATTAAGGGAAAGTTGTATAATTATATTGAAAAGTTAAAAATTAACTTACCTATTTAATAAAATGGAGATAAACTTATAATTCAAGTAACAATTTTGGAATGTCGGTGAAAGAATTTGAAAACTTGCACTTGGTCTCATTTTATTTTGGTTAGAAACTTGGAACATCTAGGAATTGATCAAATTAGTAGTTCACAAACTTGCACTTGGTCTTATTTATTTTGGTTGGAAACTTGGAACATTGAGGAATTGATCAAATTAGTAGTTTGTAATCACTATGGCAAAAGGTTCTTAACATATATAGTGGAGTCAAAATGGATTGAACGTCTGAGATGACTCATATTAATAAAATACGTGATCAAAACTCATCTTGCTTGATTCGAATTGAGTCATTGGTTGACCCACCTTAATGAATAGGTATGTTAGGTTTGAATCGCCTGCATGTACAAACTATTCGTGATTGAGAGAAATTTCTGATAATTAGGAAATAGAAAGGACTAATATTTTCATATATTTATCAATTTTTTCTTTAGTTGTAATTGTGAAAATGTTTCCAAAAACCCAATTACACGTTTCTTTGGAAGGAGAAAAAAAAAAGAATATTTAAGTTGTTGGCCACGTAGCAGCCTACTATTGGCCACTTACTCTTTCACATGGACTTGTGTTTGTTTGAAATAATGTGGACCATTGATTTAAAACGGAGGGCTGAGATTAGCATCCACTTTTCTCTTATTCTTGAAGTAGATGGCAGGAGAGAGATGGACTAGACTTTTCACTTTCCTTCTTTCATTTTCTTAAAATGGCAAATTCTTTCTCTCTCTCACTCTCTCTCTATTTTGGCGATTTTTGAGCCTTTACTAAGGGATATTCTTCATATTTGATCCTGTATATTTTCCTGGCCATATTTCGTAGTGAAGAACGTATTCTGGGGCTGGTGATCTGGTATATTTTTCACAGTTACTATCAATAGTTTGTGTTTTCCAACAGAGGGCGTTTGGTCCATTTTTTATCAGATTTTATACTGTAAATTGATACTACATTTGATTTCAGGTCAGGGTTGGTTAGGGCTATTATTGTGAGATCTTTTTTGACAGATCGATGATTTGTAAATTTCTTGGTGTAATCTGATTCTTGTAAATGAACTCGTGTTCTCTCTTAGGTGATTCTTGCATAGTAATGGGCTTGGGGTTTTTTTTACCCTCTGACCCCCCAGATTAGGCTTGGCCGAACTGGGTGAACAATTTCTACGTTCTTTAATTTTTTGCATGGCTTTTATTATTGCTGTGGTTGATTGATTGGTGATTGAAACCGCACATCGGGTGAAAAATCCCAACAGTATTCGACTTTTCTATACCAAAATTTCCAATCCAAATATTCACTGACGCATATTTGGACGTAAGCCATGGAGTGTCGTTTATTTTTTATATACTAGTTTATGCTCCGTGCAATGCATGGATTGCATTATTTTAAGGGAATTATTAAAAATTGATGGAAGATTGTATTACAAAATTTTAATAAACACATTTGTATAAAGTAATAAAGATGCAATGGTTAATTTTAAATTTGAACAAAGAGGCAATAGTAATTTATAAGATGGAATACAATAATGAACTTGGAAATGATGATTTTGTCAAGTTGTTGTTGTTGTTGTTGTTGTTGTTGTTGTTGTTGTTGTTGTTGTTGTTGTTGTTGTTATTATTATTATTATTATTATTATTATTATTATTATTGCTTCAATTGACATAGAAATTAAGCAAAAGCTTCGTACAATTGAAATAAAAACACAAAAGGGGGATGTAATAATTAGATAGAGATAAGATTGGTAGTATTATTGAGATTCAAATTGGCTTTACAAAAGGATCAAGGAGAAATGCTCATTAATATCAATCTTAATCTACAGCCACAAAAAGTTCATTTTTCAGTATTGAGTATTAAGTATTCACGAGAGAGAATTACATTGAATGAATTTTTGGGAAGCGAAGAAAGTATTTAGTTGAATTTCGCCTTTTTTATTGAGAGAGAGATTTAGGATTAGTATGGAAAACTTTCAGACTAGTTAGTCAAAGGAAATATTTTGTAGTCATGTGGAAAGACAATTAGGTTCAGAGGTTCAAAATTAGCAGAACGGGATTAAAGGGTAAAATGGGAAAAGTAAGAAAGCTTCATAAATGAACAATGTTTCATGGATTTTCTTTTTTAAGAGAGTAGTGATAGTGATGATAGTGATATATGGATTGATAAGACATCTAATTGGTGCTTTGCATAATATAAACACCGTTGTTCATTAGATTATGTACATGTATGTAAATATAATTACTGGGTAATCTGCCATGTTGCACAAAAATTTGTTACACAGGTTCTTATAGGGTTATCATCATCCAGAATGTAAATTGAAGCCTGATAAAAAATATACACCTTGAAAAGAGTATTAAAACATTTGCACATGATTGAAATAAGCCATATTGGAACTGAGTCACAATAAAAAACATACATTTATCTGTGCAAGTATATTTGATCATTTTGCAGACTTGTGGATATAGTGATGGAGGAAGTGCGAGGTAGAAGAGTC